GGAAAGGAAAGGAAAGGAAGGAAGAAGCAAGAAAAGGACAGAGGAGGAAAGGAAAGGAAAGGAAGAAGCAAGAAAAGGACAGAGGAGGAAAGGAAAGGAAAGGAAAGAGTACAGAAGAAAAAAGAAGAAAAGGAGGTGATGGGGACAAAATTCCAAGGAAGAAATTAAAGGATAGATGAGGAGAGGAAAGAAAACAATAGAAGAGGAGCTAAAAGGGAATGAAACGAGGGAAGAATCTGAAGCACAGGAAAGGCGTCGAGCAGCAGCACTTGGCATGTTTACATCGCTGCCTGGATTCAAAGCGCTGAAGTGACGTAGACGTCGAGGTTCCCTCTCTCCTCCGCCACCTACACTCTGTTTTGCTCTCGGCTCCGTCTCTGTCTTGCTCGTTTCCTTTCGCCCGCTCAATCATCATCCTCCTCCTTCGCCTCCTACTTTTTCCCTCTCCGTGACTCTGAGACCGTGGGGGTTGTCATGGAGATGAAATCTGTAGCTCTCCAGTTTGAGCCCGGAGCTGTGGTATCCTCCAGCGAGGCTATGCAATCACTCAACCAGCCGCTGAATAACACCATAAGTGTGCAAACTGTATACGTGCATTCATCAGCGCGTGTGTGAGTGTGTGTGTGTGTGTGTGTGTGTGTGTGTGGTTGTGTTTACCGGTGATGGCGTGCGGTATTGTGGTGATAACCAGTCTCTGAGGCTGCGACTTGACTCCTGTTCTGGGGTCCTGCATCTCCAGCAGCACCTTCTCCGCCTGCAGAGGAGCATTATGATGAGTGAGAAGAGGTTTTCTCAACAGCTGATTGGTGGAGGAGGGGGGTAGAGGTCACCATGCCAACAGACTGTTCTGACAGGGCCGGTGTGCATGAAGGGAAAAACCCGGATTTGATTGGAAATGTTGGATTTTTGTGAATGAAATTTTGCTCCACAGTATCTAGGACTTAATGATAATCATCATCATTATCATCATCTCCACTGGCACAGCATCACCTCTTTTCCATTTAATGAAAGTTTCATCAAATCACCTCTTGTTGATTTGAAAACTCAGAGGCGAATTGCCCCCCCTGGGATATTAGTGCTCTCTATCAAAGCTTCTAATTAATACTTCCTATCAGATAGATGCAGGATGATTCAGTTATTCTGATTTCCGACATGACTGTTACATTGCAGTTATACCACCTGCATTAGGAAGCAATGAAGGGCGAGAAGACGGTTTTGTTTCATGCCCTGATCCAACGGCTTTTGTTTGGCTTGTGTGGGAGGTTTGCGATGAGTCACTGCCCCTCTGAATAGTTTTTCAGTCATCAAATCATCTGATCCCACAGCTCCCATAGATCCCACAACTCGTACTGGAGAGCAAGAAATCATGTAGCACATTAATGCAGTTTGTGTGAAAGTGCATGTACGAGTGTGTGAGACGGAGAGTGTTTGCGGCTGACTGCCGAGCCTGTTTGAAGTGGCTTTCTGCTTTGAAGTCATCCTGGAGAGGCTATAAGCCTCAGGCTGAGCCGGACTAAAGTGGGCTTTCATAGACCCAAACACGTTGTTCTCCTGGAAATGAATTCTGTGCACATTCCCCTGGAGAGCTGCACGCTGTGGCCACTGCATCTGAGATCAATAGACTAAGAAAATAGTTCACTAATGAGACAGATTTAATCTCAATTATCTCCTTCACATTTTTTTCCTGATGTCAAAAGTTGCTTCACTGTGATAAATACGCAGCTCTTGATGTGAATGAATGTAAAATCTGAGCCAAAGGACCGGGCTGCTGTTCTCAGCACACAGAGGCTGGATTAACTTCTTTCCAGGAGCCGATCGGTGTTGATGGAAGAACTGATACTGATCCATGCTTAATGCTTATTAAAGTGAACGACCTTATCTCTGAGAAAAGGTTGAGACAAACACAGTCTATGATTTAATGTGACATGCAGATAGCACAGAAACCAGAGCGGCATCTGATTTACAGTGTTTTGTAATGCTGTTACATGCATATCTAAATCACATTTTTCTAATAGTAATTAAAATTAAGATTAAGATACAAATGGATGAATCAGGCAGTTCATGTTTTGTGTTGGATTTCAAAGCAGTTTAAATGAAACCTGTGGGATTTGTTGCTTTATCTTTAATAAACCCATACACTGAAAGCATCAGGATTTCTCTGAGGACCTGAATAAACAAAAGATTTTTCTAGAGTCCAACGCAGTTTACAAGAGCAAATGACAATAAAACCACCAGCAGCAGCAGCACAAGCCCTGCATTGGAGAATTCATACAAAAAAAGTGACCTATCTATTGGTGCGTCTGCAGGTACACTCTCTAAGCCTGAGCAGAGCTGTGATTTACATCATCTCTAATGCAAGAGGAGAGCCTACCTTTTTGAGGCAAACCATCCGTGGCCGGTACCTCTGTCCATGATCCCGGATAGCGTTTCTGATGGTCATGTTGTCTGTCACACAGACACACTCACATATACAATACTGCTGTCGCCTGTGAGCCCTGTGTCGTGTGGGGATGCTTGAGGGGAAGTGCAATGATCGATGGTGGTGTTGCCTTCAAATGCACCACATTTGGTCCTACATGGAAGCTCGGAAATTGTGATTGTGCTGTTAGATTGTCGTTGTTCTTGTATTAAAAAGGACCTTAAATTACATGTATGGATGTTTTGTATATGCAACAAAGTCAAACAACTACAAATGCACGGTATGAATTATTGACAGAAATCAAAATAATCTAAAAGAATCACAAATAAGCTAATTATTTGTCAAATATAAACAACAGCTTCCTGCTCTTTGCCTCAAAATGCCCAAAAGACACACAGAGTGGTAGATCTGTACCAGTCTGGGCGAGAAAACCGATGCTTTCTAGTCTGTATTTCCTATTTTATTGATCTTTTGAAGAGCGTTCAAGTACAAATTGCCATATTTCCTACAGCATTTGAACGCAGCACGGCCAAAGCGAGAGGGGACTCAGCCAATCAGAGCGCAGCTTTTTCCAACATGGCGCAGTGACCAAAGTGAGGCAGCAGAGGGCGACATGGCACCACCACTGAATTTCAGTTAGTGCTGGGATTTATTTTAAAGTTAACTTTTATAATGTCGTTGTTTTCTTAGTTAAACCATTTAAAGTTTATATTTGTAGCAATATTTGTTGGTTAAATTCAACTGTTTTGTGGTAAATCGTGTATTTCCGTCGCTGAGGCTCCACTGCCTACAGTTAGGACCGCTGAAACTGACTCGCGTTTAACTTTTAAAACAATTTTACTGTGTGAAACTCTCACATCTGCGTTTGTTTGGGGCACTGTGCGATGTTATAGCGTGTGTGCGTGAACTGTACGTGGATATGTCGGCGTTCATTGCCTTTAGATGGATGGTAAACAGTCAGCGGCGCTACTTCCTGAGTTTAGGGAAGGGGCTTGGTCCCGTGCCCGCGCCCCGCGAACGCGCATCAAATTAGCATCGATGAAGTTTGTTCGAACATGGCGGATTTCCTGCCGACCAGGTCCGTGTTAAAAGTTTGTCTACCCGTTTGCCTGCTCAACAGCGGCGAGGGGGAACAGCTCCGAAAGTCCAAGGAGATCGACCGGGGCATCTCCCGGGAGAAAACGTACGTGAAGCGGCTGGTAAAGATCCTGCTGCTCGGCGCTGGCGAGAGCGGCAAGTCGACTTTCCTCAAACAAATGCGGATCATCCACGGCCAGGACTTCGACCAGCAAGCCCGAGAGGACTTCAGAGCCACGATTTACAGCAACGTTATCAAAGGTAACCTCGCGGCTCAGCGGCAGGTACTCTAGCGGGGGGTTGGAGCCGTGTGGCGGCGGCAGAAAGGCCCCGGAGAGGCGCTTAAAATGGATGGGAAAGTTTCCACATCTGTGTAGCAGCGCTGGGCTGGGTGAGAGGACATAAACAGTCTGCATCTGCTGTCGGCACACCCATAGCTACCGCGTTTCAGCTCAGATCTGCTCTGGCAGGAGTTCGGCAACGTGTGGCCTGAACAGATTCACGATATTTAGTTTTTCACCAGAGCTACACCCCAGACAGCACTTTGAAACAGCCATGGGCAAGTTTCGTTGCTCAACAACTAAGCTAGGGACGTCGCTAATGGACGGTGGCCCACCAGAGC